CCCGCGCGCATCCTCGGATGCGCCATTACGCATAGGCGCAAAGCCACGAGAGCCTCCGTTGCCACTTGGGTTGGAGGCTTGGAGCAGATCAAATCAAACCAAGTTGTTGCTATTCCTTGTCCAAAAGCTACTCTTCCTGCAGCTGCAGCAGGAGGAGGAGAACGTGCAGGCCGTTCTTACAGGCTGCAAAGTCTCGGTATGCTCTGACTTGGGTGATTCAGAATCTAAGGCAAACAAACTTCATAGAAAGCAGCCAGCTCTTCAGGACAGATTTTCCATTGCGCAGTACTCCTTGTCGCAGAAGAGTCGTCGTGCAAGGTGTTGGTCAGAATCAAGCGTGATCAGGAAGTGCTCACTGCTCAGGACCGTCCTTCAGACTGGGACGCCTTTTGACTTCGGTGAATCTGAGCCCCTGTTTAGTTGGGTGAATTTGGATTTTGGGGCTACTGTAGCACGTTCATTTTTATTTTGCAAATAGTGTTCAAACATGGACTAATTAGGCTCAAAACGTTCGTCTCGTAATTTCCCACCAAACTGTGCAATTAGTTTTTATTTTCGTCTATATTTAATGCTCCATGCACGGGCCGTAAACATTCGATGTGACAGGTACTGTAGCAACTTTTTGGACTTTGGGGTCAAACTAAACAAGGCGTGAATGTTAGGCGAGGAAAATTCACAGGAAACAGCTCAAGTTCTGGACAAATTTTTCCTTGCACGCACGCACGGTACACTTCTCCTGTTCATTGTCTCGTATTCGTCGTTGAAGCTGTCACTCGGTCTGAACCATGCATTGGAATCAAAAGAGCTTATATCAGATACCTGAGTCAGAAGTAGTACAAAATATGCGGCCTCTGCTGATGCAATGGCCGTACATCCATGATAGATTCCCGATTCCATTTTCCAACTTGACGCTGTTGATGCATTGACCATCTCCAATGTACGGTCCATTACGCAAGTGACGGCTCTCAGTCAGATACGACAGCACAAAACCAAAAAAGGTAAACGCTGCGCTGTTTTATCGTGTCATCTCACCGTAAAGCAGGCCTGAAAGGGCAGCCAAACCGCCCGAGCGGCCAGCCGCGCGCAGGCATCGGCATCCCCTCGCTGTGTCTCAAGCAAGCAAAGAGCCTGGCACCGACAGCCTGCCTCCCGCTTGCCCAAATGGCTAGGAAACCCATCGGGAAGAGATCAGAGATGCATGCATCATGTTCATTATTTATTCATGTATTCGTGAGTGGCAGAGGCGCCGAAACCGCTTCTCCATGGTCCGTGGTAACTTGTCCGAAACTCCGAATGCTGCACTAGCCAATCAGACAGGCGCCATGCCAGATGAAGTTTCGGCCGTCGCCAGCAGCTGTTTCCAATCATAGAGCACCTAGTACTGTATCCAAGTTCCTACTACGTACTTTGCAGCAGCCACAGCCCACTGAAAGCTTTCGTCAAACAAAGCATCATCACGGCTGTGTTTGTGTATGTCGTCAAACGATGTAGAGGATGGTGTTGACAACCAAAAGTGGTCAAAGCTTATAATGGACTCCATCATCATATTTCTATTGTCAAGATGGTCAGAAAACATATTTGGATCATCTTATTTGGAGCCTGGACAAAGAAACAGCGATTCGGGAGTGCTGGCCCAGCCGGAACCGGCCAGGCCGGTTTGCCCAAGTTCTTCAAATGTAAGATTGGACTACACCATTGCATTTCTCTCGTCGAGCTGATCGAAAAACATATATGATTCGCCCCATTCGGAACCCGGACGAATTAATTGTGATTTTCGGAAGGTATTCTGCTGCTCTGGACACGCAGCAGCCGGTTCTTGAACCGGCTAGGCCGGTTTGGCTGAAGCAAAACCGGCTAGGCCGGTTCGGGAACCGGCTAGGCCGGTTTGCTTATGCAAGTCCGAACCAAATACTTTCCAAATTGATTTTTGGACGTGTTTTCGTATAGAAAACTTGGAGATCACGATCTAGAGATATTTTTTATTGGGATAAGACCACCCCTCTATATATACGAGAGGATCACGGCCGATTGAAGGATCTAACCCTCAGTCGCCTTTTTTACATCTATTACCCTATTTTTACCCTTCTCCATCCCTCTTGTTCGTTGCATCTCTTCGCGAGATTCATTGGTGTTCTAGGCGGCCTTGCTGACCCTAGAACAACCCTAGGCGTACTCCTCCTCGACGGGTTCTCCCGGGAGATGTTCGCAGGCTCTTGCGGCGTTGGACGAGCTCTAGATCGGCCTAACCGTTTCTCTAGATCGGTTTAGTCGTTCTTGGACTTGTTTACTGCGTGTTTCAGATTGTGTGTAACCTAGGACGAGCTAGCCCTTGCTGATGACTTAAAAAAAGCAAAGCATCATCACGCTAGTTTCGCCGTCAACTGCTGGAACCCGTTCCATCATCTTAAAAAAAAAAAGCAAAGCATCATCACGCTAGTTTCGCCGTTCTTCGCAACTTTCGTTGCAGAAGAAAGAAAACAGCTACTGTACTTTCCACATAAACAAGCGCAGGCAGTAGCAGCGAGCTTCATATGGGCCAGGCCGAACTTGTTTTGGGCCAGGCTGGAGAGGAATTGTTCAAGTCTCGTCTCAAGAGCTTATTGATTTTCAGACGGAATTCCTTTCCAGACTGCCAGACACAAGAAACCTAAACAGCATGTTTGGATCGGAAGTTCACCCAGTCCGGCATGACCCAGAATGTGCTAGTCCGTCACTTTTTTGTGGAATGGCCTGGTCCACCTCGGTTGCCTAATCAACACTATGTGGAAGCACTCGATGACGGACCGTGCGGCTCCATTCTAGGAACCAAACAATATTGCCAGCTTCGGATATAGGATCAGATCATTCTGGATCACCTGACGCCACAAACCAAACTTTCTATAGTAAGATGTACTAGTATATATGCACATGATGATTCCAGAAGATCATCAGAGCTCGGCAGTTCGTCCTGAATGCATTCGAATGCGCTTGTGGCAAAGCTAAGCCATAATAAATGAAACAAGCCTTGTGATAATTTTCTGATTCAACTCTCTGGTTGAGAGCACAACCAACCATCAGAATACCAAAATTTGCTCCAAATGTCAAGAGGCGAAATTATTTCTTCCTTTCTGCATTCCATTCTAGGATGGCCCTTCTGCTGCTGCTGCTGCTGCTATTCCATCTTCAGCAACTTCAGCTACTGGACTTCCATCGGCCACAGGAGCAAGACCCCAACGGAAGTCATGACGAGACAGGAAGAAATGGGGATGACAGTGAGTGATCTGTTGTGTCAGGTGGATAAGACCCCCTTTTCCTGATAGGCAAAGGGGGAGAAAATGAAAGAGGAGACGGATTGAAAGTTTCATCATTTACCTCTGTTCTGAGTAATCTGCCTAAACTGGATGCTCCGGTTTAAGAAACTGGACTGCTGAGTGCAGTAGATTCATGTGTCACCAAATGACAAACGACAGCAGTGTTAAACAAAGGATATGTTAGGCAATACCTCATCGTTTCAATCAAGACAAATTATACGATCTTGTGTGCTTGTGTTAAGACATGTAAAAGTGCTCCTACAGAATCACAATCATGCATGCAGCATGCACATGAGGATGCAAGGAGACAAGTTTTTGTGCTTTGAACGTCCAGGGACATTAAGATGTGCGCTTCACTGAACCACCAGATAACGCTATCATCATGAAATTTCTCATCTAGCTTTGAGAGATGCAATACCATTTATGCCAAAGAAAATACTTCAGGCGACAGTGGTAGCACTTTTGAGGTCACAAGAAAGAACACACCCTTCCCATCTGATGGGCGAGCCCAACTGTCCAAGTGTGTATGATGCATCACGAGTATGTACAAGCAAAAACTAGATGTCCTTCATAGAAGGATGCTCCAGTTCCAATAGAGGAGCAAGTTTGACCATCCTAAACAAGAGTACAAGACCCATTTGACGCCCTTAACCATATATATACTACAATCAGATAAGATGGGGCTGCTCTAGGAAATTGAACTCAATCCTAGGGATTGGAACCAAATTTCGCCAACTCAAACAACTACACGTGTTGGGGGGGGGGGACTATTCCAAAAAGAACACCATTCACTCATTTTCCTTTTAAGTTAATCAATCCCAAGAACATGGCAACAGAACATAATAATCCACACATAACAATACTAATAATTAGCCCTAAAGCTATATGATCTAAGAAGGTCCCTAATGAACTCACTCTGTTATATACTTCACTACACCAACTTCCTGGGACAATTCAAACAGCACACAAACACTTGGATAGCTCTAGAGAATCTCTCCAAGCATCCAGATTGCAATATTCCCCAACTCTGATCTGATAACTTAATGGACACATTGCTTGCAAACATTCAATTGACCAAATTCGACATGACCAAATTCGCATGTGAATTATAATGAAGTATTATGCATCAAATACAACATGAATAAGCATTCTCAAATCCGACAAATTAAATCTAGCAAGCCAGAAGCACAGCAGAGTGATATAAAGATCATCAAGGGCAAGTAACTATGAACACATCAGATTACATTTTCCAGTCATGAGTCCTGTTAAAGGAACCTAACAAGCACCAAGCTCGCATCCAGTTCATCTAGTTGAGAGCTTAGCAAATATCAAGCTGGATTCAACCCTGATGATGATGTTCATATTTACAGATGCAGTTGAAAAGGGAAAATAGAAACTGATAATTAAGCCAACGAAGTAAGTAGGAACATAGCAATGGCATGACAAGGCATAAGTTAGCACCTAAGCACATAAAGCATAATATTTCGGGAACGGTAACAAGCACCGGTCATAACTCCTTGATCTAGGTCTAGTTCGGATTAAAGGCAATATCCTTCACCACAAAGTAGACACAGCCAACCATATGTCCATAACACTAGAACAAGACTATTCCAGGCAACTAGAAGACTTAGGTCACCCTTTTTGAGCAACATCTTACCAAAAGACGGGCCACAGAATCCAAAACCCAGCAGCACATCAATTCCAGCCTAATCAATATGCACCCTCCAGAGCATCAAGCACCATCCCCACTGTCTCCTTCATCAGGTCCATCCGCTGCAGCTGCTGCCTGATCTCTGACATTCTGAACTTCCTGAGCTTCTCCTCCACCGCTCTTGCCTTTGATTTTTCAAGTACACCAAATGCCTTCCTGAATATTGGCCCACTCGGATGCTCCTTCGACAGCTCCTCAACAGCCTCCCACAGGTATGGGTACATTTGTTTTCCCTTCTCGGCATCATCTCTCCCACTGCCATCACCATGGCTAGCCCTACCCGCAGTGACAATTGCATTACCATTGCCGTTTTCATATGTCAATGCCTTTGGCTTCTTGGTCGTGCGATCACGGAGTTCCCATCCGTTTCCCATATCCTCATCACTCTCCTCTATCTCCTGTTCTTCATTGCTCTCTTCTGCATCCTCAGTATCCTCGTGTGGCACACGAGATCCTCGTACTAGTACTAGACTCTTCAATCCCCAAACTTTCTTGCTAAGTTGATAGACATCGCGATCATGTTGCGTTGGCAAGTTGGGATCCCGTCCATAATGTCCATTCTTTGCACGGGTGAGCAGCAACTTGTACTTATGCTTGAGGCGCCTGACCTTATCACTAAGCTGGGCCGTAGAAGCATTAGCAGTGAGTTGATGAATAATCTGGCTGTGTACCTTGCCCGTGTCCTGAATGGACGCAGGGAGCCGGCCCTTTTTGGCACGAAACTCAATGAGGGCACTCAGTATGGTGACCTCGTCTTCAGGACTCCAAACCCGGGGCGGCCGCTTCTGGTGCTCCGGGGAATGGGGGCTGGGGCGGTGCTTGGGGCGACGCTGGGAGGACCCCGCGGCGGAGCGGAGGGGCACATCCATCGGGCGCGTGCTGACGGGCTTGACGTTGGAGGTCTCGATGCGGAAGGAGCGGCGCACGCTAGGCAAAGGCGAGGCGTCGCCGGCGCCGTCGTCATCGGAGGCGGCGGCCGCGGCGGAGTTGTCGGAGTCGGAGTCGGAGTGGAGGCGAGGGGTGCGCTCGCGGCTGCGCCTCGGGGACGGAGAGCGGCCGGCGGCGTCAGCGTCCGAGTCGGAGTGGAAGCTTGGGGAACGTTTGCCGCGACGCCTCGGGGAAGGGGCGCGGCGGCCGGTGCCGGCGCCGGCGTCGGCGTCAGCTTCCGCATCGGAGTCGAGGTGGTCGCGGGGGGAACGCTCGCGGTTGGTGCGCCTCGGGGACGGGGCGCGGGCATCGGCGTCGGAGTCGGATGCGGCGGCGCTAGGGCCGAGGTTGGGGCGAGGGGACTTGGAGCGGGATCGGGAGCGGGAGGGGGAAGGGGAAGCTGAGCGGCGGTGGCTGTTGCGGGCCGCGCCCGCCTCGCCGTCGGAGGCGTCGGACGCCGACCCCGGGCTGGCGGCGGCGGCGGCCGGGTGCTTCGGGGCCATGCCGGCGAGTGTGGAGAGGAGTTGGTTTACGGTTTTGGATTTGCAGAGTGTTCGGCTGGTCTACTGCTAATTAAGGTAATTAATCTTTTTATCAGTGTAAAAGATAACCTTATTACAGATATTATCAATTGTACAGTCTAAAGATACCATGACAGCTCTTAAAGACATCCTTGAACTGCTTTAGGTAAGCGTTAGAGTTTTTTTACGTTATCACGTAGTTTTGGTGGGATGCGGTAAGTAAGTGTTCGTTGAACCTGTGTCTAAAAGTTGTTGTCGCGAGTTTGATTCTGTGACAGTAACTAGTGACCCTATCAGTGGGCCGATGCTTGCGACTTCGGTGGTTTAGCACTCAAGACACAAAGATCTATCATGGTTCAGAAGTCCAAGAGCTACGTTGGATAGCTATTTTTTTCGTGTTAAAATGCTCAATCGAGTTCTTACAATGGGAGAAAGAGAGAGAAAGATGGTAGAAGAGCACTAAGCTAGTGATCTAGGATTTGATCGACTAACCGGGCTATTGGTCCTTTGATCTCCCTTCTACGGGAGCCTCTGGTCAACCTTATATACCAAAGTTCAGGGGTACAAAGAGAGCGGGTTCGTAGAAATTATATAGGGTTTTGTGTCCCCATCTTTGGTTGGTAGCAGCACTGGACGTCGCCCCTCATGCTTCTCCTTGATCTCCCTTCTACAGGAGCCTCCGGCCAACCTTGTATACTAGAGTTTAGGGGTACAAGGAGAGCGGGTTCATAAATTCTATAGGGTTTTGTGTCCTCATCTTTGGTTGGTAGCAGCATCGGACGTCGCCCCTCATGGTTGGTTGTAGTCAACAACGCTTAATTGCCTCTAATATTCTCTGCAGGAACCTAGAGTTGACCGTCAGATGGTGGAAGAACCATTGTGTCTTACCTCATAACACCTTCCTCACGGTTGCACGCTAAGGGCATGGCAGCATGCAAGGAGAGGCTAACAGGCAAGTCGGGCATGCTCATGCGATGGGCGCAACCGTCCTTGTCGTGTTGCGTCACTCCCGGGCATGACCTTGAACCGAATGGCCGACACAGCCTCACGGAGGCGAGGGACAGAGCCCCGACAAGGCATAGATCCCCCTTTGCCCTTATATCAGGTTCGGGCCATCTATCAGATTTTGAAAAAGTATTTCTCACATTGTTGGGATGGAAAGCTCGGCTGTAGTATGACAACACTTGCGGCCTTTCTTGGTCGGCGGCAGCGTTCCAAGGTCGAGGACCTCTCGAGCCTCGCCAAGCCCCAAGGTGGAGACTTGACCTATTTCCTAGAGGCTAAGGCCTCTTACCGGAGTGGGCCATGTTAGGCCCAGTAGACCTCTACAGTAGTCTGGAGTGTATGCGCGAGCGGACACGACTGGTGTAGTCCCAAACCCCTAGCTGATTAGGTGAATCGGTTAGTAGTTAATCGTACTGCACACGCTAATTTGGGGGTCTAGGTGACCCCTCTGTTAAGTACTCATCGATATATCCCGGCGGATATCGAGATAATCACGAAAAGTATCGCGGCCTCCTTAAGCATCTTGAAAATTTCTCTCTTTTGAACGACCAATCTTTCGCCAACGCTCCCGGTGAGCTCAATAATTGTAGATCTTTCGATGAGTTGAACAAACTTGGTATTCAAAACTTTTATTGGAAGGCGACGATAATACTGAGACCCATAAGGTGGCCCATTTATCGAACCTACCAAGGGTCAATGGACTCGGCTCGCTGCCAGCGCGTCATGTCATGTGCTACCCCGTCAAGAAATTCGGTAGCAGGCGTTATTGGCTCAGGTTGGGCGTTCCACACGGCCGGACTAAAGGCCGCTAGTGGCTCATCACGTTATGCCTATCGCTCGTTGATCCCCCTGGTCTAGAGGCGGCCATGCATCGTCCGCCGTTGGTTCTCGAACCTCTGGTATAGTGCTCGCTGATTCCCCTGGTCTTAAGGCAGACATATACCGTCCGCCGCTGGTTTTCAAACCTATGGTATAGCGGGCTATGAGTATCTGTTACATTAATTAAGAAATAAACAAAGAGAAAAACATATAATAATATAATTTTTTCGATAACTAATACTTATCCTAAAATTCTAACCCAGTGTCATAAGTTGATGGACTAGTAGTGTTTGTAACTGTACTCCGTAACTGTAAGGAGAATATATTTCATAGAGTATTTAATAAACTTATACATTGATGTTACAGATAGTGCATTTTTACAAAGTTGGTCAAATAATAACCTTGCTTGAATTTGGCAGTGCATTTTGTACAAAGTTGACCAAAAGTTAAGTCTTGATCAAAATAAACTAGAAAAGCTAAACTCAGAAGTCAGAAGGAATAAAAATCCCGGGACGAAGGGAGTAATATCGAAGCTATGCTCAGATTGGCCGTCGACGACGAACACAGGAACCAAACTCTTTCGGACTCTGGGGTGCTGTCGGGCCAGACACACACAGCACTGCCTCGACGAACGAGACGAACCAAATAGCGAACCAAGTTCCATCAAAACCAAATAGCTCCGTAGTATCTTCTGTAGACGCGAGGCTAACGTCCATTTGGCAGGATCCATATTCTTCGACAAACGTTTTGGAGCAGGATTCTCTTTAGAAATATTTCTCTGTTGAAATAAGAATCACTTGGTAAGAATCGGTGAAACGTTTAGCTATTAATCCATATTCTTCTTAAAATTAACTAGACTCGCTGCGAAACACATATTTAGGTGATTCTCATTCCTAATAAAAAAACGAGAAACGTTTTTCTGACTCACTCATTCCTTACAAAAACGAGAAACGTTTCTATAAGAACTCGAAACATTTGTGTCACCTATTTGTATGTTTGGCAGCGATTCTGGTTATCCAAACGGGAAATTTCGCAACGGGAAATTTCGCCTTCCTTGACCCGGCTCCCGGCCTTCGTATTTGCGCTATATATAATGCTACATTTGAGTTACTGACTAAGCTCAGTATCTCTGAACTGTTTGCTGCATCTTGTTGCGGCTGCGCATGGACGAAAAACTCGTAACTCGCTCGATAGTGGTTTAGCTCGAACTCAGCTTGTTTGAATTTTTAATTAACAAGTTAGCTCGAGCCAGCTCGATTAATTAACGAGCTAGCTTTAGAGCCGCTCGCGAGCCAAAACGAGCCAAGGTAATTTACATGACAATAACTACAATCGGCCCATATATTCCTCGGTCTAGCCCAATACAACTTTAACCAATTCATATATCCACTCTGTTTATGGCCTAGCACGATTAAACATTAAAACCCTATACGAGTAGACCGATGGTCCTACCCAGTCAACCCACCGGCCTACCCTACGATATCATGTTCACGCAAGACGAGTCTAAAATTCATATGTATTTTGTTTGTTCCATTTTAAATATGAATATGATGTATTTATTGTTAACTTACGGTTATGTAATGTGTTTTTTTGCTTTGGCTCGCTAGTCAAACAAACCAGCTCGAGCTCCCTAATGAGCCAATCCAAGTTAGGCTTTTGGCTCGGTTATAAACGAGCTGAGCCCTAACGAGCCGAGCTGGCTTGATTTCCACTGCGCCAACCACACTACGACAGTGTTTTCAGTTCAGCTGCAGTAGCTGAAATAAGTAGAACCGCACAGGGGTGAACCGTGAACAACTGAACATATATACTCGCCAAGAAGTTTTTACTCAAGGAGCCCAGGCACTTAGCTTGTCTAAGCTTGTCTACATCGTTCTTACAGAAGCATCTCGTGCAGCTACAAGAAATTTTAGAGAAGCATCTTATCGCACTCTGACAGAGTTCAGATACATTAAGAGCCATCGGAGTGACGGTTCCACAAGAACAGCAGAGATACTATCATAGGATACATCATGAACACCACCAAATCCACAGAAGTTTAGGGCGCGTTTAGTTCCCAAAATTTTTTGGATTTGGGTATTGTTTGGTTACTGTAGCACTTTCGTTTGTATTTAATAATTAGTGTCTAATTATGGACTAATTAGGTTTGAAAGTTTCGTCTCGCGATTTCTCACCCAACTATGCAATTAATTTTTTTGTCTACATTTGATACTCTATGCATGTACACAAGATTCGATATGATACTTTAGGGTGAAAATTTTTGGAATCTAAACTGGCCCTTACTCTGACCTCTGGTCAGCTCCCATCGTCTTTGCACTTTCACTGCGCATGGTCGTGCTCAGCCTAGCATTTTTTGCCCCACCCAACAGAAAGAAAGAGAGCACCACAAGTTAACACGTGGTTACCCTTGCGCGGGTACCTGATGCGGTACTTGCTGAGCTGCTCCCTGACGAGCTTCTCGTAGATGAAGGATGCGCCCTTGAACTGCGGCAGCACTAGCCAGGCCACGAACAGCAGCTTCACCGGGTACCACACGGGGATCCAGTAGAGGAGCGGCTCAGCGAGCATCTCCAGGAGCGTGATGAAGGAGTAGATGATCCAGTAGGACAGCCACTGCTCGTCGTCCACCTTGGACGGGCTCTCCATCGCGCACACCGACGCGTACCTGCACCATCCCAACACTACTGCTCACGCCGCGGCCACCGCTGCAGTACTGATAAGGTGATAAAACTGGTCCTGGATTCTGAACTTACAGTGGGTACAGAAGGGTAATGCTCGGCCTGCAAAATGCATGGAATAGAGGAACAACCAGCAAACGCGGACATCAGGCAACGGTCGGAATCAATCAAAGATAAGAAGCTCGAAGGACACCGAACGAAGAAATGATGGATGAATCGGCGACAAGCTGTAAGAAGGGAACAGTGGAGTACCCGACGACGGTGTGGAGGTGGCTGATGAGCGCCCAGGACTTGCCCATCTCTCCTCCTTCAGTTCGGTCGATCAACCGAGGCAAAGAGACAGGAACCAAACGGCGACGGGCTTGCCGGGTTCGATTAAAGATGAATGGTCAAAACGGAAGAGTCCGCGAGAAGCAAAGGAGTTGCTCGGCTGATGGGACAGCGAAGATTCAGTACTGGAGACGGGGCATAGCATAGGGTGCGTTTTTATACTCCAAGAGAGGGAGGTGGCAATGGCATCGGATGCTTTAGGCCCCGTTTAGATCCAAAAGTTTTTGGATTTTGGTTCACTGTAGCATTTCGTTTGTATTTGATAATTAGTGTCTAATTATGGACTAATTAGGTTCAAAAGTTTCGTCTCGTGATTTCTCATCCAACTATGCAATTAGTTTTTTTTTCGTCTACATTTAGTACTCTATGCATGTGCCGCAAAATTTGATGCGACAAGTACTGCGTAAAATTTTTTGGAATCTAAACAAACCCTTAATTTGGACGTGGCGTCCTGGCATCGCTTTGAGACAGACACGGACACAGTGTATATGGAGTATGGCCTTAGATTCCAATTTTTTTCACTCTCTCTATCATATCAAATCTTTTGACACATGCATGGAGTATTAAATGTAGATAAAAAAATAACTAATTACACAGTTTGATTGTAAATTACGAAACGAATCTTTTGAGCCTAGTTAGATCATGATTGAACAATAATTATCAAATACAAATAAAAATGCTACAGTCTCAAATACTAATTCTCAATCATCATCTAATCAAGGCCTATGTTCTTGAAAGATCTAGCGGCACGAAAGTAAAAGTGATGGGACAAGTCATTTCGGTTTGCGCAAGACGTCGGTCGGTCGGCCTGAGGTCCTTGACCTCCAGTTCTCAGGCAGGGTGGCACGTGGCGACACGTGTAAGATGAGCAACGGCACTCGTGTCCACCTGGGACTGCGAGCAACCCAGACTCGGCAGGAGCTATGCCGGATAACTCGACTATGAAGTTAGCCTTGTTTTTTACGTGAAATTTAGGAATTTGGCTACTGTAGTATTTTTGTTTTTATTTACTAATTAGTGTTCAATCATGGACTAATTAGACTCAAAACGTTCGTCTCGCGATTTCCTATCAAACTGTGTAATTAGTTTTTTTTCGTCTACATTTAATGCTCCATACACGTATCGTAAGATCAATGTGATGGCTACTATAGCACTTTTTGAGAAAACTTTTTGGAACTAAACAACTCCTTAGAGAAAATTCCTTCATTGCCATCGAAAACTATAACAATTCCTTCGTTGCTATTCAAAATTACATGTTCCCTTTATTGCCATCAGTTTTAGATTTTCCATTCCCTCGTTGCCACTGCTGTTACAGAGGAGTCACGGCGTGACTTCGTTGCCATGCCCGACGTCCAGACACCGTCCGACGGTTCAAAAAAGTGCCTCCCAGCGGCGGCTGGGCTGATGTGACCATGCTGCCACGGCTGCGGTGACGGCGGCGGGAGGTAGGTCAGTCCGTCAGTCAGTCAGGGGCGCGCCCCCACCGACTGCGCGAGCCGCTCGACCTTGACGGCGATCTCCGGCAGCACCCGCACGGCGGGGCGTGGCTGCTCCTTGCAATGGCAGAGGTCTAGCCCCAGCGCGTCCAACACGTCCTCGGAGCTCCACCCGGCCCGTCGGAGCGATTCGGAGCACCGGTCGACCTTGAGCAAGAGCGCATCGAGCGCCTTGTCTGAGTCCACCGCGGCGGGGGCGGCCTCCTCGCCGTCGAACACACCCCCGAAGGCCGCCACCTCGACCATCTCCGTCACCTCCATGTCCCTCCACCCGCCTGCCTCAGCATGTGGCCTAGCCGGTCAAGGTAGCTGTCCACCCAGTGCGGGGTCCTGGACCGCCTGGCCGCCAGCGGCGACAACGCGCACCTGGAGGACCGCGACGACGCAGTGGACGCCTCCGACAAGGACGAGTCGCGGCGGCGGCGGTCGAACGCCGTGTCGCTCTAGAACTCGATCCAGCGCGGCGCCTTGCCGCCACACGCCGCGTCGAGGCTACGGCGCGTGCACGACGTTGTCGCGGCGGCCTCGTCGGCGTGCTGCTGCTGCGGCGCCACCAGTGTCGGCACCGCCCGTGGGTCCAGCAGCTAGAAGTAGGCGTCAAGGGTGAAGAAGTGTAGGATGTTGAGGCCGACGCAGAGGACGCGGTCGTCGGTGACGAAGAACACCGGGTTGCCCACGAGGCAGGGGCGGCAAGGCAGGAAGCAGCGGTCGAAGAGCGGCACGAGCAGCGACGCGCGTCGGATGGCGGAGCACGCGGTCCGGGTCAATGGGGCGCGCGCCCCCGCACTGGGGCCATAGCGCTCCGCGCGCGATCTGCAGCGATGCCGCCGCGATGGGGTGGTCCCTGATAGGAAGGCTCTGATGACATCGGCATCGGTGACATTGGGGAGCTCGTTGCACTGCCAGGAGAAGCATCGGATGTACTCATGGAGAGTCTCTCCCGACTTCTGTCGGCAGTTCTTCAAGTCCCAGGGGTTCCCAGGGCATGCGTAAGTGCCCTGGAAGTTCCCTAAGAAGATTTGTTTTAGGTCCGCCCAACTCTGAATGCAGTTGGGCGGAAGGTGCTCCAGCCATGTTCGCACTGAGTCGGCCAGGAACAGGGGGAGATTGCGGATGACGAGGTCATCATTGACTGCACCGCTGGCCTGTAGGTGAGCCTGTAGTCCTCGAGCCACAAGCCGGGTTCATTTTCCTAGAGTATTTCAGGATGTTAATCGGCAGGCGGTATTGGGGCGGGAGTGCCGCCTTGAGGATATGCCAACCGAAAGCCTGGGGCCTCGTTGGTTTGGGGCTATGACTCTGGTCCTCCTCGTGGTCATAGCGCCACTGCGGTGAGGGTGGTAGCCACGGCTACCCCCTCCCCCGCATCACCGTGGGTATGCCGACGGGCTTCGTGGGTGTCGCGCGCATCACGGTTGCGGCCGAGACGCTCTTGAACCAGAACCGTGATACATGGCCTACTGCCGTGAGGTGCCTGGTGGACTGATATGTCCCTGGAGCGATGTCCTGAGGACACATGCTCGCTGGCATTGAGCTTGTGTTGCCAAGACATCAAGCTCTCTGCCTGCTGCACCGCTGCTCTCTCGAGCAACGTGCGTATATCTCGATAAGCTCAGTGCTCATCGGGCACCATGGGCTCTGGCACGCCTTGGATCATAGCCGCGGGGGTGGCTATGTTCTGACTAGCACGGGCAAGGTGTGGGAGGCCATCGTCGTCCTCGATGATCCTCCTGTGTATATCGCGGGCCACGGCACATACATTTCGGGATATCGTGCTCGAGCTCCGCTTGCTCCTGCTCCAGCTGGAGCCGCACATCCTCAAGCTCTTTCTGCCATGCCTGCAACTACTCCACGCGTGGGGCCCTTGTGTCCCCCTCGACCTCGTCGTCGAGGTCATTTGTTGGCGTAGCTTCTCCCTCGTGGATACTTTCGATGTGTCCATCACCGGTTTCCACCATGAAGCACTCACGCGAGGGATGGTGGCTCCCCCACCAGAGTTCAAATTGGAGATGGTCTCGGAGCCTTCCACGATCAGGTCATAGGACTTCGAAGCATAATCTGTCACGTCCATGAACTCGTTGTTCACGGCGGACAAACGTAAGTCACTCCCAGGAGCGTGGGTTCCCGGGGTGTGTAGCCGCAGTTCACCGAGGGTCTCAATGACTGCATCGAGACTGATGGCCTAAGGCGGTGTGGCGGGGCTGTTAGCCCACGCCAGTTCTCCCTCCGTGGAGATGATGAAGTCTAGGCTCCCGAAACGTATGTGCATGCCCACGACCCAGCTCGCACTATGGTTAGCCATCCACGGCCTAGTGGTGTCGACGTGATGCGCAAAGAGCCCCTACCTGGCGCGCCAACTGTCGATGTTTCGAACAACCGACTAGTAAATTTGTATTATTACGCGTCTAGCCCAGATGGTGTGCTAAGAGGACACGAGGTTTATACTGGTTCGGGCAGAATATCCCTACTTCTAGTTCGTTGCTGTTGCTCATGTTACTAGCACTGAAAAGATCATAGTAGGGGGTTACAAAATGGCGAGAGAGGGAGGAGCTCCCAAGTCTCTATGGTTCGATTGCTCGATGCTTCTACTGCTGGATCTATCGATCGATTGATCTCCCTCCCTGAATGGTGCCCTGCCTTCCCTTTTATAGACCAAGCGGAGAGAACAGGATACCAGAGACCGAGAGAAGAGAAGAGGGAAAAAAGAAAGAGAAATAAGGCTCCCGGGGGTGTGCCGTCCTCCTCTTCGTGTGGGTCTTGCTGACCCTGTAGATCATGGTGGCAGCGGTGTCGCATAGGGGTCCTGTTGGCTGCAGCAGCATACGTGCGGGCGTCGTACGCCGTTCTTGTCTTCCATCCCATCTGAGCAGACGGAATGGTCAAAGGGTTCCCTGATAGAGGCCATACGGGGGGCTGGTGGTACAGTGCCAGTCAACTAACGCCGGTTGACTAACGTTAGACGGTGGTCAGGCAGGGAGTTGGTAGCACAGTGCTGGCCTATTGACGTGGTGGGCGACGTGAGTCTCCTAGCATGGCCTAATGCGATCGCCAGTCGCATCAAAACATGCCCGAGACGTGCTCTCGGGCCATGCGCCTCCATGTCATAGTGGTTAAAGCGGTTCGGGTCCCACTCTGGGCCCATTGCTTTTGTCCGGTAGCAAATCCGGCCCCTAGGGAATGGCTGAAGCGGAAATCTCACCCTAGGGGCCTGCAAGATGAAATCTGATCCTCGGGGGTTGAGCCAGGTGAAGCCCTCCCTGTGGGACTAGATGAGTTGGAGCCCGCACCCTAGGGTTGAAGGAGCCGGAGCCCGTGCCTTGGGATCAGAAGAGGCGGAAACCTTGTCCTTGGAATTGGAGCCCATGCCTTGGGGTTGGACGAGGCGAAAATCTCATCCTCGGGAGTCAGCCGAGGCAGAGCCAACCCTCGGGGGTCGAGCGAGGCAGAGCCCATGGCCTCAGTGTCCTCCGAGGCGGAGCCAACCCTCGGGGGTCAGACGAGGCAGAGCCCAGCAAGAGGTGTAGTCGCGCTCTTGACCGCTCGGATGAATCAATGTTGATGGTTATTAGCTCCTCCTCTTCGGGTATCCTAGTATTGGTCCCCGACACTAACACTCCAAGTGTTTCACCATCACGTGCAAGTGTGTTAGCATTTTTATAATCATTTTTCAAAGGTTAATCACTTTCTCATAGATTGTGCACTAGGCCTAAAATGCAATGCAAGTTTTCCAACACCTAGGGGCACTAGATGATCGAGTTGTCCAATAAGAGCTCCCCTCTTAATAGTACAGACATCTATCCTAAATATGATCACACTCTCTATAGTGTCTTCATCACCAAAACAAAAAGGCCCTATTGATATCACCTTTGCCTTGAGCATTTTTGTTTTTCTCTTTCTTCTTTTCTAGGTCCCAAAGCTTGATCACCATCATCACATGTCCACACCACCACCATGGACTTCATTTCATGTGGCCATCCCCATCCATGAGTGCCACCTAGCTCCTTCACTTGGATTGGACCATCCTATCTAGTCACACACTTAGATGAAAGGATTAGTCCAACTAGGTTTCATCAATTATCCAAAACCAAATTAGGGCTTTCACCACTGTCATTGACTTGGAGAGCCAAACCGACGTCCAAACCATATTTGGGATAGGGACAACCGCCTTACCTGCCATGCAACAGCCTTTAAGGAGCAATCAAGGCCCTATGATGCAAAGGCGGTGACATCCAACATCGGCCGACGCCCATAGATGTTGCCCGGCGCCCAAGTTTCCTGCACCACCTTCCTTGATGGCCTATAAGTACCCCACTGCCTCTACACACTATGAAAGGGGCAGTGGTGCTCGATGGAGAAGTGCCCCATTTCATATTCAAGCATTCCAAGCTCTCTAGTTTAGAGTAGCTCTAGAGTAGTAGCTTAGGAGTGGAAGTAGAGCTAGAGCGAAGCTTCTTCGGAGTCCGGAAGAGTCTTCTGGGTCTGGTATAACTCCTTTGTAATTCTTTTATTCAGCATTTACTTTATTCGGTACTTTACTTTCTGTACTTTATTCAATATTATTGCTTTGCTTTGTTCAAGTACTTGTTCATTTTTGTTCATCATTAGTGAGCTTAGGTGCTTTCTCTTAGCATAGTATCATAGGTTATCTTTTGTTTAATAGTCATTCGTTAGTACCGGTTCCACCGTCTGGTTAGGGTGTTTTAATCTCATTTCATCGAGCTCATATCAAAGTAGTAAGTTTATAGATTAAGCGTGGTGCTTAGGCTATAGATTACCTGTGGATATGGCTAGACCTCCAGATAGATTATGGTAGTAGACAAGTGGTGACAACCTTATCCATCCTCTATATTTCACCACGATAGGTCTAGTTATTAAATCATAGGGCTCGTGATAGACCCTATCTAGTTAACCCTCCTGGTTGGTAGGTGGGCTGTGCCCCAAAGTACTAAAAAACTCCTCCTAGTCACTAGTTTACCTTTATTATATATTGCTCGCTCTCCCACCTAACTATCATATCTCTAGTTTAGCTTGTTTACTAGTTCACCCATCCATTTACAACATCGTCCACCATTCCATTCACCTACCTAGGCTAAGGACACCTTTTTCCTTTAGCAATCCTAAGGATTAACTAAACTTAGTCTCCCGCCTTTCTTTGGGAAAAATATAAATTCGACACTCGGTACTCACCAGGAGAAGTGTTACACAGTAGTTCTATGCGCTTGCGGAATTCCTTCCCTTGATGTAAGAAGCGCCAACAGTGT